GCAGAACGGAAAGAAAAAACAACATCGGCAAATGAACGCGATTCCACGGCAACCAACGCGATCAAAATAATAATCGAACTATATTCACTCGCGAAATTCTCTAACGAATCGGAGCGTGAAGAATATAACCATTTCTAAAAATTCGAAATTATGCGCAATGAATGCGACAAGAAATGGACGCCATCGGTACCGAACGAGAGTCGCTCTGAAATTAGCGTCATGCGACAAAAAATGGACGCCATCGGTACTGAACGAGAGTCGCTTTGAAATATACGTACATATATATATATTTTTTTTGTCAGAAGAGCTCAATATTTACTATTTATCTCTATTACACGTAACGTGTATTGAAAGGTGAGGCCTTTTCCTAACACTTGAAATCCGCGACACAACAATTAGGATGCTGGCCCATGGACACGGAAAACGGAATCGGAATGGAATCGGAAAGGTGAAATGGTGGGGATAGCCAATCAGCATCGTTCCGAAATTTCATAGCTTTTCATTCCGATTTTAAGCACCCTGATTTTCCATGGAGCATATTTTTTAGGAAACGGAATCTGTTCTAATCTTATATTTTTTTCAAATTGATAATTTTTCATCATTTTATTTAATTAATATATTAATATACATATAGATAATTATTAATGCTGATTGGCTGTCATCATCATTTCTGATTCCGTTCCGATTCCGTTTTCCGTGTTCATGGGACTGCATCCTTATATTATTCGATTAATGGAAGGCGTCTGATAACAATAGAGTCTACATATGTATATGTCATAGCGAATTCATAGCGAAGAGTTTCCGAATCGATGAAATTTCCATTATTATCTCCTTCGCGAGATACTTACTTTCGATGAAATTACGATGATCACCCGACATTTTCCCTCACTTGACACTCACTTTTGGAGAGATATAATCGCGATATAATCTCGTTCAATGCTTTTTCTTTGAAATGTATGCGTACGATATTCTGAAAAAAAAACTCTCAATTGCCGTCAATTTTTGCCATTAATTCTATGAAATCCGAAATTTGTGCTATTTACGACGTAATCGGAGCATTGTGTGTGCTTGATATCTTGTTCTATCGATAATATTTTACTCGATATCACCGTGTCTCAGATATTCGTGTTAATGTTTCGCGAGAAACATGTTAGAGAACACGAGAACACGAGGGAGAATGTTTGGAGACGTTCACACGTCGCCGGAAACGCGAGCCGCTTACAAGCTTGACAAGTACCTACTAAGTTTCTCGGAAGTGTCTTCGACTGAAACAGGTTTCAATTGTTTCGGGAGCACGATTAAACTCAATTTGTCATGTATTCGCACGAAGCTGAAAGCGCGTTAGAATTTTAGTTAGATTCGTAGCTACGAGGTATGTTAAAGCGAATTAAACTGAATCACCTAAACTGATACACCTAGAACGTTTGGCGTATTTGTATTTTATTGAGTTTGCATATAATCGAAGTAATTTCGTTGCTTTAACGATTTACAATACTGATGATTGTATCGACAAGCAAAAGCGAAGGAAACATTGGAATTAACGCGGTTTAATAGTAATTATCAAATAATATCGTATGATAGATAATTTCAATTCGACAAACCGTTTTTTCATTTTTTTTAAATTCGTAGATAATCCGTCATTTCGCAAATAAAAGAGGAGGGGCGTCTGGTTGCAAGTGCGACGGGGTTTACACGTCAATCTACAGAGCGTCTTTCGCGGCTAATCTTCAGCTCGCGCTTCAGTCCCCGAATCGTTCTAGTGATAATATCGAATAGTTCTCAATAGTCAAGAAATAATGTTAATTAAAATCGCTACGATGTAATAGGCAGTCTCGAAAAAGAATCAGAGAGCTTCGTTCGATACGTCTTATTTAGAGGACGGCAGACGCAAAAATGTTTACTACGCGACACGACTTCGCTCGCTGTTACCCCCACTCTCGCTCCTCGGTAAGTCCGCCGGCGCGACGTTATTTTTCCTAGAATTTTCGTAATCGTATAGTCCGTGCGCGTACATATGTATACTACGGGCCGTTACGGTATAATAATTGAATTGTGCCGCAGATATTAAACGTTCGAAAGCGAAAGATCATCAGCATTCTGAAAATCGCATCTCTTTCGCACCATACGCGAACTTTCCATAGTTCTCCTTCTCACTCTTTCTTTTCTCTCTCTCTCTCTCTCTCTCTCTCGATGTCGAAGCTATAACGTTAAACCGCGCGTTGCGCGGCGTTAGCTGGCGCATTGCGATTTTATTCGACTTTTTTCATTTTTGATATTTCGAGGCGAACATATTTTAATTCGTTAATTCATGCCCGAGGCAAGCAGCAGCGTGAGTAATTCTTGGAACTGAGCCGAGGTGGCGATTCTCGGAAGAGAGGTGGCGATGTAAACAAAGCTCGAATTCGTTGCCGATACTTGGAACACAATAATAACAATCGCGTCGACCGCGCTGTGTTTTCGTAGGCTCAGTTGCGTCGTGAACTTCGTGCTTTACGGACGTGTCTTTGCGATTGAGAGAGTGATGCCGCGCAATCCGAGTCGAATTATATTGCGCACATACGATAAACATACGTTAAAGTGAATATTCGGAGCATGAGTGTAACGAAAGAGGAAAATATAGATGCGTATATGAATCTTTTTATAGGAAGCATAAATTAAAACTTTGAAACATAAAAGAAGGATTAGAGATAAACGCTTCTCTTACGTTTCGATGTTCTAATTTACGCTTTCTAGCAGATTCATTCGCGCTTTTGTTATTCTCACTACATTCTCGCTTTTTGAATCTTTATCTTTGTCAGGGAAAGTATGTTAGGATTTTCGATTGTCGCCGGCGAGGGTTGTGCCGCGATGTGAAGTTGCCCCGAGTGAAATTTAGAACTCTCTGAATATAGTGTGGAGTACAATGGCTACCGTATCGCTTTATGCGTGTGCTTCGAAGTGCGTTGTGCGTATGGAAATAAACATCGGGAGTGCCGTACAGAATCGCGAACGTTCGTCGTATTGCGTTGATCAATGCACGGAATAATAATTCGTTTGGCTCTTTAAGTTTTGTTAATATTGAATGTGCGAGTGAGTGTCAATTAATAATGGAGGAGCAGCTGACCATGAGATGACAATCCTGATTGAAGTAATATTTTTCGCCGCGACGCACATCTTCCCTTCTTATTTGGATGGCGACGGATCTCCAGGTGATTAAATTTTCTTATTGCGTAATCTAATTTTTATTTCTTATCTTATTTTTATTTGACGCAACTAATCATTCATCTATTTTATATGTATATATGAAATTCATTTGACGTCATGGTGAATTTATTAAATAAATAATGCGACCTAGATATTACGAATAGGTAAATAATAAATAAATAAGACGGACGTTTTTAGCTTATCGCTTGACGCAGAGATTATTTATTTCTTTCATTATCCTGTTTGCCTCGCGTTATCGAATAAATCGCAAAGTTGTTAATTCTGTTTATTCGACAGAGATGGTTCTCTAAACATTTCCCATCTCTCGCGTACATTCGCGGGTAATTCCGCGTTGCGATTTACAACGCCGTGATACGTTCCGTCAAAGTTTTCTCTCCTCGGCGTGAGGCACTCCCTTCAGACGGCGCGAGAGACGCAACGAGCTCTCGTGATGAAACCCGCAAGAAACTCCCGAGTTCGACGGCCAAACGAACATTTGCAGCTGCTTTCCGCACGAAAACACTCGACCACCGTCGTGCAATATGTACCCTCCACGTGGCGAGTCCTTCCGTTTCGAGGACGCTCCTACGCCTCTTCTACCGGGTGCGCATGAAACACG